TTATGGTTGATAATGGTAAAACAAATTTTAACTTATATTAAGATGAAATTATTTTTTTGAATTTTTTTTTTTTTTAGAGGCTATCTATGATATTTGTCGTCGTAATTTAAATGTTGAACGTCCATCTTATCATAATTTAAATCGATTAATTGCACAAATTGTTTCATCAATAACAGCATCACTTCGTTTTGATGGTGCATTAAATGTTGATTTAACAGAATTTCAAACAAATCTTGTACCTTATCCACGTATACATTTTCCACTTGTTACTTATGCACCTATTTGTAGTGGTTAGTCAATTATTACAACTAAAAAACACACACAAATTATTAAATTATTTTTTTTTCTTTTGTTTTTATTTATTTATTTTTTAGCTGAAAAAGCTTCACATGAACCATTTAGTGTTCAAGATATAACAAATGCTTGTTTTGAACCAGCTAATCAAATGGTTAAATGTGATCCACGTAATGGAAAATATATGGCTTGTTGTTTACTTTATCGTGGTGATGTTGTACCAAAAGATGTGAATAATGCTATATCAGCTATTAAAACAAAACGATCAATACAATTTGTTGATTGGTGTCCAACGGGTTTTAAAGTTGGAATTAATTCTCAACCTCCAATAGCTGTACCAGGTCTAAAAAAAACACCTTTTTTTTTTTTGCTGAATTCTATCTAATATAAATCAATAAGATAAAAATTTCGAGATTTTAAATTTAAATTGAATCCATTATTCTTTATACAAAAAATATACCGAATAGATTTTAAAATTGAATAAAGTAAATATTCATTTTATGTTTTTTTTTTTAGGTGGAGATGTAGCAAAAGTTCCACGAGCTGTTTGTATGATATCAAATACAACTGCTATTGGAGAAGCTTGGGCACGACTTGATCATAAATTTGATTTAATGTATGCAAAACGAGCTTTTGTTCATTGGTATGTTGGTGAAGGTATGGAAGAAGGTGAATTTGCTGAAGCTCGTGAAGATTTAGCTGCATTAGAAAAAGATTATGAAGAAGTTGCTACTGAATCATCACATGACGATGCTCCTAATGAAGGTGAAGAATATTAATTCCACATTATTTATCACAAACACTATACACTAAATAACTTTTATATTGTCGTCTTTTTCTTTCTATTCCAAAAAAAAAAAAAAAACGAAAAAAATTTTCTTTCTTTGTTGTTTGTTTTTTCTCGGTGGCAATGATAAGCACACAACAAACATACACACAGATATATATAAAGAAGAACAAAAAAAAAAAAAAAAAGAAACATAAGTCATCCAAAACCCAACGAAATGCACACACAACAACCGTGTAGATATAAGCACACACACACACACACACACACGCATAAACCGTTTTTTTTCTTTTAGTTGTGAATAAATTAAAGGGAAGCTTGATAAACGAAACAAAATAAAATGAATGAACTATACGCAAACACATAGCAGATAATAAAAGCGCTGATACATACACACAATCGCTTAATAAATAAATAGAGAAACAAACACGGCGGCATAAAAAACAAAACAAAAAAAGAACACAGCATCAACTCACAGAAAGAAAAAGTCGACAGATAATTCGAAAGCATAAACATACAGGAAATTCCATCTTCTTTGTTCTTTCGCCTCTGTTTTTGGTTTTTTACTAAACACACATCGAACAAATCTCTTGGAGAAATACACGCATACAACATGAAAGTAAATATAGGTTCGATTTCTTTCTTTTCGCAGGAAAACAAACAAACAATGATCATCAAAAAAAACAAAAGAAAAAAAAAAGAAGAAAACAAGAAATAGACAGTTAAAACATATACTCACAGAAACAGATCTTTATTTTTTTTGCAAACAAGATATAACACGATATTCTTACTGTTCTTTCATCGAATTGTAACTCTTTTATTTTATTTTATTTCTTTTTGTCATACTATGAATTACGACGTGGTTTTTTCAATTCGACCTTCAGTCGTTTTGGACCAACACTAAATCCATCCATGCTTAATATGGCTAAAATAAAGAAAAATTCAATAATAGTTAATTTTCTTTTGATGGTTTATGGGAGAAGAATCTCATTTTTTTGATAAAACTACAAACATTCTTCTTACAGAATCTTATTGTTTCATTGAGATTTATATGAATTCCAAATGAAGGTGTATAGAAAAAGGTAAAAGTAAGTTCGGTACATTTCGAAACAATATTTCAATTTCACATATCACAAAAAGATTTGTAATGTAGTATGAACTTAGTCTTGTGATAATAGATTTAATTCATCAAAAGTGTAATTCAAAACAGTAAATATATTAGATCGAAAAATAAAAAAGATTCTTGATATTTTATCAAATAAAACTGACTATACATTTAAGTCTTATATTAAATTTATATTGTTTTAACTGATTAAGTCCATATAGTCATGTTATCATTTTAATTTCCGAAAACGATGAAAAAATGAACTCTTTCCTCTAAAAATAATTTCGTTTTTTTTTTTTTGTCTTCTCAATATTGGCTGTCACTATACAATATAGACTAATACTCTGAATTCCGTCAGGTCGATTTCGACATATTTTAAGATTAAAAATTAGCAGACAAAGATATATATCCGAGTGTTGTTGTAAATATTAGAGCAAAATATACAAGATCCCAAAAAGTTTCAGTTGAAATAAAGGCTTCTCTCTCGAGATATTGAATTTTCACGAAAATTTCATTTTCCTAATGAATAAAATTTTAAAATTGAATACAAATCTATTGATTAAAATCATTACCTTGTTGTGCTGATGAAGGATTATCATATGAAACAAAACCAAAACATTTTGATTGATTTGTTTTTTTATCAACAAATACCTAAAACAACAAATCTATCGTAGATTAAAAAAATAATTAATATTAACCTTCGCCGACAAAACTGTACCAAATTGTGAAAATAAATTCATTAATGTTTGATCAGTTGTTTCTTGTGGTAAATGACATATAAATAAATTTGAATTTTCAGGTCCAATTTGTTGTTTACCACTTTTTGTTGTACGATAAGATTGATTTGGTGAAAAACGCATTGTTGATAAATATGATGAATTATTTGAAAATGGTAAATAACCATCTATAGGATCATAACGATCATTAAATATATTTGATGGTATTGTTGGTGGTAGTCCATTTTGTTGATATTGTGATGGTGAATTCATATATAAATGATTTGTAAATGGTGATGATGGTTGATAATAGAATGGTGATAAAATTTGTTGTTGATCATTTGTTTGTGATAAAAATGAATTTGGATAAGATGATGACGATGATGGTAATGGTGGTGGTTGTAATTGTAGATCATTAAAACGATTCACCATTTGATCTAAACTTAATTTTTGACTATCCAATGAATGACGATTATCAATTAGATGATTGTTGTTATTATTATTATTATTATTATTATTATTAATATTAATACTACGTCGATCAATATCGTTTGAAAATATATTTGATGATGATGATGGTGATGGATCATATAATGAATCATTAAAACATGATATAAGAGGTAATTGTTGTGAACAATATGGTGTTGATGATGATGAATCATTTGGAAATTGAAAACGTCCTGTTTGACTTAAATGATGATTATTAGCATTTAAAAGATTAGCTGGTGATGATGGTAATGGACTAAAATCATGATTATTATTATTATTCTGATGATTTAATTGTCTTGGATAAGGTAATTCATCTCCAGTAATATCATTACTAAATGGTTCAGATGGCCATGGACGATGAGATGGTGAAAATAATGATTCATTCCAATAATGATCAGATCCAGATTGATTTAATGTTGACCAAATAGGAGTTCGATTATGAAATAGATTAAAACTATCGATTGGATCATTACTTCCATTAGGATTAGTATTATTACTACCACCGTTTGTCATCGTCATAGCGGACATGATGTTCCGACTGTTATTTTGAGGAGATTGGCCAATTTTACGCCCTTTACTCACTCAAAATCTAGAAAAATATAAGAAAAAAAAATATATATATGTATAGTTCATTTAAAGCTATCTTTTATGTGTTGTTGATATACTTATATTTTTAAAGATTTATATTGAAAATAAATGACTTACACGCAGAACGAATATTTCGATCCGTGTAACCAAATAAACTAAATTAGAAGCGGAAGAAAATTAAGCAAAAAATCTTCACTATTTATACACTCAGCTGTTCACCTGGATAACCCATGTTCTACAATGTCCTTCATTCTTTCTTTCTCTCTCCCCCTCTTTCATTATTTTCTAAAATATACTGATTCGCTAACATAGACGAGATGAGATTGCACTCGATTGTTATATTTCGTTCATTTTACTTTTCGTCGATAATATACAAAATGATAACTATAACGAATAAATCAGACGAAATAGAATACAGAGGGAAATACAGATATACATTCAAAGAGAAAAGAGACCTTGGCTTGTTCGATGTATTCGATTTCTTTTTCGCTCCCTCCCTCCCTCTCTCTCTCTCTCTCTCTTTTGCTTTCTTTTATTCACCCTCGTTTGCATATAATATGTATGTCAGTATGGGCAAGATATAACACAATAATAAAAAAAAAAGAATCAAACATGCACACAACTTGGAAACCGTGCTTGAGCGTGATAGTGTGTGTGTGTGTGTGTGTGCACATCGAAACAAACAAACATACACATTGCATATGTTTATTTCTTATTAGACAACGAACAAAAAAAAAAAATGGTTGAAAAAAGAAAAATATTACTTTTTTTAGTTCATTTTATATAAACTAATCATTTATTAAATGATTGTTTTTTTGACAAAGAACATTCAATAGTTTTTACTTTATTTGTCGCTCATATGACTCGAATATATTCATTGGTTCTCCAGAATTTACCAATTATACGGAAGAAAAAAAGATATGAAGAAAGAAAGATGTTAGTATTGGATATATGCCAAACAGACAATTTGAATCATTCTTCTTTTTTTAAATGTATATTTTTTTCCATAAAAACTAATACTATGATTGGATTTAAAACTTTTCATGATGTTGAATGTGATACTATAAACATATTGATTAAATTAATACAATTTAAAATACTTATTACACAAGTAAAATAGATACTTTTCTTCTAATCTTATTTTAAATAATTATTTCTTAGGATGTAGTCAGATTAAGCTATTATCGAATAATTTTATTGTCATATTTACATTTATCACATGGTAACGAATGTTTTTTTTTTTCTTTATTATTATTATTTGTGTTTAAATAAGTTTTTGAATTTAGAATATGAATGGACTAAACAATATCTAAAGCAATTTTCATTATCTGGTTTAGTTCATGAAGAATGATGAAAATAATATGTGAGTTTAAATAAACTATTGAAAGAATTTAATAATAAAACAAAATATAACATTAATATTTTTTCAAAATTTAAATAATATCTATATATTAAATATATTTAACTCAATGGTAAATAATTATTTCAATACAAATTTTTAGAAAACTAATCATTAAAAAATTATTATCTAGATTATTTTAATAATAACATTCTAGTTATCCTCTAATCTATTGTCCATTTCAAATTTTAATTAATATTATCACAAAAGAAAAATAAACAATATGAATTATTAGTAATAGTATGTGACCCTAAACATTGTATTTGATGTGTATTCTTCTTTTGCTCTTTCTTTCTGCATGTGGGTGTGTGATTGTAAGAAAAGAGAATACGAACACTCCTAAGCACAAAAAATAAAAAAGAAGAGTAAATGAAGAATACACATACGTCGAAGACAATATGGCTTAATTTTATCGTGACCTATTATCACAAACAGCTCTTATCGAAAATTTTATTGCTATTATATTAGTTGACGTATGATCGAATATCACATAAGTGTAGGACATTTATTATTATTATTATTATTATTATTACTACAACATATAAAGAAAAATTTTCTCAAGCTTTTTTTATTATACGGAAATCAAGTATCTTCATCATTACTTTTGAATTGTTCTAAATAATTTAGTTTATAGATAAAATTTATGTTTTTAAAAATATGACTTTAATAATTTATAGATTATATAGATATTTATTCGAAATATAAATTTAAATTCATTGGAAGTAGATTCTTAACCCAGACAGTTCTAGAAAACGACATTTTGTTATTTAAATTAGTATGTATTGTCTAAAACTACCATTTATTACACGTAAATGCCATCTCAAAGCAGGAAATAACCTCTCATGAACGGCATCGAAACGTTACTATAAGTATCTAATATACATAACATTTCCATGCTATTTATGAAAGTCAATATCTCGCTTTGAAATAACGTTTAGGTGTGATAAACAGTAATTTAGGACAATACTTACTGATTTGAATTACTTCGGAAACATTTCGAAGTTTATATTTAAAATAATTCTTATCATACTAATAAAAAATCATTGATCAAATATTTTATTCTGATCTATATTTCAATTTATAATTATTGAATACTTCATTTTTTTTTTTTATATCTAATATAATTTAAAAACTTGTCTTTTGGTATAGAATAGTGAAATTAATATGAACAATAGAAAAATCTTGAATATCCTCACCTTCAAAGTAATAGTTATGAAATGATGATAAAACGTCTGTAGTTGTCGTAAAAAATGTCCATATTTATTTTTAATAGAGATAAGATAAATTGTTGATTTCATAAGTGTTTTAAGTTCTTATTAGCATATTTCGAACTTTTATATTATGTTTTATAATAACTTGAACTAACCGAATAATGTTATACAAAAGATACATATGATTTCTAAACTTACAGAAATACACATCGTATGGAAATAATGCAACTAAAAATAGTCATATTATCTTAGGATATTTTACTAATGAAGATGTAGATTAAAAACTATTTTTAATTATCATAGTTTAGAACTTAGAATTAATCAATCCTGGCGGATTTCTTGAAGATTCCTAAATGTTTTTTTTTTCTATTTTAGTCATAACTAAAAATGTAAATAATCAAGATGATTCTACTATTTTCTTATATTAAACAAGTATAATGGTTTTTTATTGTGTATTTTATTCTCTAAAAAGATTCTTTGCTCTATAGATGCCAAACAAAAAAAAAAAAAAGATTTATAAGCTTATATATATAACATTACCTTCATGTCATGGAAATGAAATGTTAACAACAAAAAAAAACATCGGATTCTCTATATAAATGGTTCACAAATAATGATAAATATTCTCATCTTTTATCGAATCGTCGGTCATATTCAATCACAATTAAGAAAAACAAGAATGATTGATGAGTATGTTATCTACTTTCTACGTAAGAATAGAGTATCTCAATCGACCAATTGCTTTTTTGTTTCTTCTTGAAACATATATAACTCTATATAGTTCGTTATATTAATTCTGAATATTCAACAATTCTATTGATTCTTGGTCATAACGATAAATCCTCATATGATAAGAATATTTTTCATAAAATTCAATAATTAATTAATCTAATTATTTTATCACTAGACAAAAATATCTCGAAGAATATCTTTTTTTGTTAATTTACAAATATTTCAAACTTAAATTTTCAAGTACTAAAATACACTGTAAGACAGAAAAAGTGTCTTTTTAAGATTCGATTCTTTTCTTACATAATGAAGAAATAAAGAAATGCAATTATTTTATATATTGCATTACATAATCTTGCTCAAGCTTCGGATTATAATGAACAGATGAAAATAAATGTCAAAGGACTGTTTGAAATCAATATACAAAATATTTTTCTATTCTATATCTTTCGAGGAAAATATCCAAAATGTCTAATTTATTCATACCTCATTCCATAGATCGAGCCTATGTCATAATGACGATTTTACTAAGAACTATTCATTTTCGATAAAACTGAAATAAAGAGTTTCAACGAAAACGAACATATCTTTCTCAATTTCCACAAAAATAGACGACGGTTTATTATAGGAGGACACAGACATTGAATATCTTAAGACTGACATATTCATTGAAACTTTCAGGACTTTATAGACAAAATTTCAGATCAAAAACTCTTCATTTTAGCTTTATCGGAAATGAATAGGTTTCAGTAAAATTGCCATTAAACTATAGGTTCAAACCCTCGAAGGTTTTTTCTTACTTCAATAACAATCAATCTATCGTTTGATGTAGGAATGAATGAAAACAGAGCTAGAAGCTTGTGATACTTTTCTCGTGAGTACTTAGAGAAATTCGATTGGACGTACAATGGTCTTGTCAGAAGGGAATGCGGTGTTGGAATATAAAAATTTAAAGACATATAGGGGTCACTAGAACCTTGATATTCAAAATCAAGACAATGATTTCATATATATTTCAAAGGAAAAAACAAGTGGACAGAGAGTAGAAGACTTTTCTCGTTAGTTATTTGAAATATTTTCTTTATTTAGATTGATTCTGATATTCAAGTATGAAAAAATTTAAACTAAAGTACGGATAACATTCAACATCTGCGTACTGTTTTATTTGTTTTCTCAATGTATGGTAATTATTGAAAACATTTTCATTATTCTTTTAGCTATAAAAATAGACTATGATGAGACTCTTGGACACTTTTTCTCGTAAGTACAATTAGAAAATATTCAATAATTTGTTTATATGTATTTTAATTAAAACAAATTATATTACCAACATCTCGAGAAACAAGTATTTACAATACTTAAAACTCTAAGTAGATTAATATGATAGCACCAAAAATTACTAGATTATGGATTATCAACCATGTGATATGTTCTACAATCTGGGTTAATCAAAAACAAAAACTATTTTAACGAAAAGTTTGTCTGCCTAGAAAATCACCATATGAAGACATAAAGGAATTTCTCATGGTCATATTCGAAATTAGCATTGTCGATAATCTATAATCCAGCAGCTTTTGTTAAAAAAAGTGATTGATCAATTGAATATATTTTCTCGTTAAATAACGAAACTATAGTATTGTTTCACAAGGTCGACATTAAATCTCGCCGAGTTCAAAATTTCCGGATCCAAACCGTACTTTTGATACTTTGAATGAAATTTTCTAATCAAAATTGAATAGTTGCTCCCGAAGATACGAAATACTTTTTTCAGAATTTTTGTTATTCAGTAACTAGCGCACTCTACAGATTTGTCAGATGACTAGAGTCCATCGTGTCCGGAATTTTCCGACCGAGTCCGTGAACAATTCGATGAGCTGTAATTGATATATACAAATATCTAGTGTATAATTTCTATTTATCATTTGATATAAGAATTTATCAAAATTATCTTATAAATTCGGAATAGAAATAAATTTATTTTTGGTTTTTTTTTAAAATTTTTGTATATTTATAATTTTATATGTACATGAATTTATTTAGCAGTCAGAAAGTTGTAAAATGATTCATAACCTTCATAGTAAATATCCTTTATGAGGTTTTTTTCCCTTTCGGTAGTTTCTATGTATGACGTAACATAATGATGTAATGTCTTGCCGAAGAAAATTCTGTGTCATATATGTGACAAACTAGAATGAAATAAAAGCAAACGATATATAATGTTTTATTATTGCAACAGCAGGATGAATGTCTTCTTTATAAATAGATTTTCCTTTTTTTTTTTTAGATTTTCATCTTTTTTTTGTATTTAATACAGAAAAATGGCTGAAGCATTATTATCAGCTAATGAAAAACATAAATTAATTACACGGCATCTTCAAGAAGTTCTTGGTGATGATCGTTTACGAAAGATTTTAGAAGAACGTGATCTTCGTGTTTATTGGGGAACAGCAACAACAGGTCGACCTCATATTGGTTATTTTGTACCAATGGCTAAAATAGCTGATTTTCTACATGCTGGTTGTGAAGTAAAAGTTGATTTTCTAATATAATTAAAAATATTTTTTTTTTGTTTTGTCTTTACTTTTTAAGGTAACAATACTTTTTGCTGATCTTCATGCTTTTTTGGATAATATGAAAGCACCATGGGAATTATTAGGTCATCGTACTGTTTATTATGAACATATAATTAAAGCAATGTTAAAATCTATTGGTGTACCACTTGAAAAATTAAAATTTATTCGAGGAACTGATTATCAATTATCTCGTGAATATACACTTGATCTTTATCGTTTATCATCTGTTGTTACAGAACATGATGCTAAAAAAGCTGGTGCAGAAGTTGTTAAACAAGTGGCTTCACCATTACTTAGTGGTTTACTCTATCCAGGTTTACAAGTATGTAATTTAATTGATAATAATAAGATAATATTTCTGTTTTTGTTTTTTTTATATAGGCTCTTGATGAAGAATATTTAAAAGTTGATGCTCAATTTGGTGGTGTTGATCAACGAA